ATCATAAACTCCAAGCAATAGGAGAGACCATACAATAAAACATGCCTGCTATTTATTCGTGTCTCAGAGATAGGCATCAGGCTTATATGCATCATGAACATTTGACACATAAGATTATATTATTTACATCACATTTCACAATTCTTCTGTTACTTTCTATCAAAAATATATATACCATCAAAACTACTTTTGTAATTATTTTTATACTTTTACTATAAAGTAAAAACCACCTTGCACAGTCAAGATCCCTCACTACAGGCTTATTTCAAAAAATAATTAAAAACAGAGGCTATAATGAGTTAGTTCACATAAAAATTGAACAATGCTGAGAAAGAATATCATAAATAAATAAATAATTTCATGCTAATGAGAATGATGCCAGTACTGATAGTGAGGAAAATCTGTAGAAACCACTGCAGGTCAAACAGAAACATATTCACCAGTGAGAGAAAGTGAAAGACTGCAAATCATGTGCTGAATAAGTTTTAGAAAAAGCAGAAAACATACATTAGCTTTGCATACAATCTCCACAAAATACATTTTATAGAAATTATCTATACACATGTTGACGTGCACATAGATCAACCTTGGGCCCTTTATCAAGGAGGAAATACAGCTTCAGAACAGCCTAAAGAATTTCATCTAGTTATGATGGTTCTATGCATTTAGGTGTTTTTTAATATAACATAATTGCTCATTTCCTTCACAAGAAAAGTATTCCGTTTCATACTTTATATTAAAGCACATGAGAAATACTGGCACTGTACAGGTATGCATGTAACACATTTTTCTTTTGTCACACACACTTGTATTTAAATTGCATCTGTCCTTTCATAGATGTAGTTCTGTACATCTTACTTCAGAATTACAGGATAAAGATGTGGAGCAAACACTGGAGCAGGAGAGGAGCTTAGCTCAAGGACCAAACATTACAATAAAACACTGAGAGGACAGGAGCATTCAAACTAGAAACAGGAATTAAACAGAGAAAGAAGGCTACAGGGAACATGGAGTTATCTCACGCTGCATTGTGTTGGGAAGGTATCTGCATCTTGTGAGGCTCACAGTGTTTCTCATTACAAAATTTTCAAATACGACAGCAATAGTAGAGGCTTTAATTATCATAACTGATCGAGTATTTGTTTTTTTTTTTTTAACTTTTTTATGCATTTTTAAAAAATATCCACTTCCTGGATTATTCTTCAGTAGAATAGTTCATCAATATATAAATACAATTTTCTCTGATATAGTGGAGCAAATCAATAACTATTAATTATTCAGATTTTAGACCGTTTCTGCCATACTACTATTTTGCTTAAGAGAGTAATTAAAAATGTTACTTTTTAAAAAAAAAAAGGCTAACTTTGTGGTTTTGCATCAGTATATCCTTTAATATTTTATGACCTATTAATTTGCACTGTTGTGTCCTTTTATGCAAAATGCAATTCAGTAAATTTCATTATGCCCATTTTAATATCTTAGTATCATTTCCATATTTTTGTATAATTTTAAGGCCTTTAAAATACTTTGCCTTTTAACATAGTTTATCTTATGTATCATTTTTTACTCTGTAGCAGTGTGAGATTTGCCTCACATAAAAAATACAGCATAAATATGCATTATTATTATTATTAGTAGTAGTAGTAGTAGTAGTAGTAGTAGTACCATTCACCCATTATTAGCTTTGCTATGGCTACTTATTTACTTATATATATTTAAGGGCTGTTTATGCAGAAAGTTTTGGTTGAATGGTTTTGTGAATTTTTCAGTGAAAGGGATTTGTTCTACGTCGAAATTTGTGGCTATGTTTTATCTGCATAGACACAAACATGAAAGGGCCCGAGTTTCAGACTGACGGCACATGGACACTACAAAACCTTCAGAAAACAAACCAGAATTGTTCTGGTATTGGAAAGTTGACTAAAACTACATAATTTTGCTAAGACCTTCTCCCATGTTTCCCTTCCTAAGACCTTTAATGTTATTGTAACTATTAGTTTTGAATTCGTGTTATATCCTCATGCATTCTAAATATTTCTGAATTTAATTCAGTAGCTGTTTCTTAGTGGGATTCTAAGTGAGCTTTGGATAAACAAGTTTTCTATTCTTGTCTGGGCTAATCACACAAACAAACTACAGATCTGGTTAGTAGAGATTAGCTTGAAAATACTGGAGTATTATGAATTTCTAATGCAACGCAAATAACAATACACACTGTGATTCTCACAAGCTGGCAAATCACTCCAAAATACAAGGGGGTGAGATGTAACTTCACATTGCATATAGCCCTGGAAATGCATTAATTAGGAGAGCCGGGTTAAGCTTGGCTCACTCCCTCTGATTTCCAAAAAGCTGGAGAAAAAAGGAGAAGATGTACACAATATCCAGGTAGATATTGAGTGTGGCAAAGATGTACTCCTCTGGGCTTATAGTGTAGCGCTTTTTTCCCATCAGAAGCTGTGTGTCGAATGCCAGAAACTTGAAAGAAAATGACAGCACCATCAGCAATGTTGAATTTCACACACACACACACATATATATATATACATAACATTCAGCTACAGGTAGAGCCTTACCATGCTGAACAGTATCGCTCCCAGCCCAGCAAACACAGTGTGCATCCAAGGAACCTACATGGTTAACAGTTTTAAAATTGCAGCTGAAATAGTACTGCAATCAGGTAATAAATGAATCCTGTATCATTCAGGGTGTTCTTTTCTGTGGAAAATGGATACTTACATGGCCAAAGGGAAGAATAAAAGCCAGGACCAGTCCACATATTAAGAATGAGGTGAACGTGACAAACAGCACACCCTGACATGAGGTCACATCAATCTATAAAAAGAAAAAGAAAAAAAGAAAATTTGACCAATCCTGCCATTATTCTTATACAGTTATACAGTTACTATATAGTTATTATTTTTGTTTGTGCCTAACTGTGTTCTTTTCTAGTGAATTAATTGGTTCTGTTTCCCAAAATAGACTGGATGTAAAAAAAAGTCTACACACCCTTATTAAAATTGCAGGTTTTTGTGATGTAAAGAATTAAACCAAGATAAATCATGTCAGATCTTTTTCCACCTTTAATGTGATATAGCCAACCAACAAATTTCAAGTGAAAAACATCCATCCATCCATTCATTTTCCATACCGCTTATCCTACACAGGGTCACGGGGAGTCTGGACCCTCTCCCAGGGGACTTGTGGCACAAGGTGGGGGTCAGCCTGGACAGGTTGCAGAGCACAGTTTCACACACATTCAAACAATTTAGAAATGCCAGTCAGCCTACAACATCTTTGGACTTGGGGAGGAAACCAGAGTACCTGGAGGAAACCCCCAAAGCATGGGGAGAGCATGCAAGCTCCACCCACACAGGATAGAGGTAGGATTCAAACCCTCAACCCCAAAAGTGCAAGGCCAATGTACTAACCACTAAGCCACCATATAAAGTAGAAACCCATATAGAAACATTTATTTTTTTAAATTACGATAATCTGGTTGCAGACGTGTGCATACCATTTTATAATGAGGCATGTGACTGTGCTCAAAATTAACCAGTCATATTCAAACTCATGTTCAAAAGTAATAATCATACAGCTGTCATCACTGAAATGATTCTGATTAACCCCAAATAAAGATCAGCTGTTTCTGTAGGATTTTCTTGACATCTTCTTGATTTCATCTGACTGCTTGAAGCCATGGTCTGCAAAGAGCTTACAAAGCATGTACAGGATCTCATTGTTCAATGATGCCAGTCAGGAGAGGAGTACGAAAGAACTTCCTAAACATTAGATGTACCATGGAACACCATGAAAGCCATCATCAACAATTGAAGAAAATGGGGCACAACAGTGACATTACCAAGAACAGGACATCCCTCCAAAATAGATGAAAGGACAAGAAGGAAACTTATCAGGGAGGCTGCCAAGAGATCTACAACATTAAAGGAGCTCTAGGGATTTCTGGCAATACTGGTCCCTCCCTGCATGTGACAACAATCTCTCGCATCTTTCAGATGTTTGGGCTATGCGGTTGGGTGGCTAGACGGAAGCTCTTTCTCATGAAAAAACATCAAAGCCCAACTATATCACCCCAAACCATGTGGCAAAATGTGTTATAGCCTGATTAGACCAAGGCACACTTTTTGAGCATAATTCTAAAAGATATGTTTGGTGCAAAAACAAGACATCTTATCCCCCAAAGAACACCATACCCACAGTGAAGCATGTTGGTGGCAGCATCATACTATGGGGCTGCTTCTCTTCAGCTAGGACTGGGGCTCTAATCAAGATAGAGGGAATCATGGATAGCTCCAAATACCGATCTATTTTGGAACAAAACCTGCAGGACTGAAGAAGAAACATTTCACCTTCCCAAAGCACAAATCCAAGTGAACAAAGGAATGACTTCGGAAGAGGAAGATCAGTGTTTTGGAATGGTCCAGTCAGAGCCCAGATCTAAATCCTATGACAAACCTGTGGAATGACTTGAAGAGGGCTGTGCACAGGAGATCCCTTCACAATATGAGAGACCTAGAGTATTTTTGCAAGGAGGAGTGGAATAAAATCACCAGAACAAGATGTGCTACATTCATAGACACTTACCCCAAAAGACTGAATGCTGTATTACAAGCAAAAGGTGCTTTAACAAAGTATTTGTTAAGGGGTGCGCACACTTGTGCAACCAGGTCATTGTAAGTTTTTTCTTTTTCTTTGTTTTACTAAAACATTTCTATTTGTTTTCCACTTAATTTTTTTGGTTGCTATATTAAAGGTGGAAAAAGATCTGACATGATTTATCTTTAAAGTTTAAACTTTAACTTCTCTATATCTATTGAAGATAGTCTGGTAGAATGATCATATAAATATTATTAGACAGACAGATAGATTGAACTCTTTAAAGTCTTATTTTCGGTGTTATGGTCGAGGTGAACAGCTTCAGTGTTTCAGCTCTGAGATGTGAAGAAGCTTCAGCACAGTGTGTTAAACGCTATCACTTCTGCCCATACAGAGACTTGAACCCTGGACACTCAAATTAAAAATCAAACGTTCCACCCGTTGAGCTATTCTGGATCATACAACAAGCCCAAAAATACATTATTTTTTATATCAGCTGTACTAAGCATCAAATGTTTAACATCACTGTAGAAAACTACACTATATGGCCAAAAGTATGTGGACACCTGACCATCACACCCACATGTGCTTGTTGAACATCTCTTTCAAAAACCATGGGCATTAATATGGAGTTGTTCCCTCTTTGCTGCTGTAACAACCTCCAGTCTTCTGGGAAGGTTTTCCACTAGATTTTGGAGCGTGGCTGTGGGGATTTGTGCTCATTCAGTCACAAGAGCATTAATGAGGTCAGGTACTGATGTTGAGTGAGAAGACCTGATGCATAGTCAGTGTTAATCCCAAAAGTGTTCAGTGGGGTTGAGGTCAGGGCTCTTCCACACCAAACTTGGTAAACCACGTCTTCATGGACCTCATTTTCTGCACAGGGGCATTGTTATGCTGGAATAGTTTTGGGCCCCTTAGTTGCAGTGAAGGGAAATCTTAATGCTACAGCATACAAAGACATTTTGGACAACTGTGTGCTTCCAACTTTGTAGCAACAGTTTGGAGAAGGCCGACGTTTGGGTATGATGTCAGGTGTCCACATACTTTTGACCATATACAGTAGTGTAGCTATTTGAGTGTCCACATACTTTTGGCCATATAATGTAGTTTTTTTAGTGGTCTGACCACTCTGAAGGCATCTACTTTTCCTTTGAAATCCCAGATGCATCACCTTTGACCTGATTTTCATAAAATCTGAATTTTTAATTTTTTAGATTTGTAATTAGGGTTCTGATTTTTTTTTTTTTTAAATCTCAAAACCTTAACTTGTAATTTAAAAAATAAATTACAAGAAGAAACAATGTTTACAAAAATGTGAATTTAATAAATACACCACAGGAAAAAAATATTTTTTACGTATATATAATACAAATATACAAAATTCATATTTAAATACTTTGGTCAGCTTCCAAGCCCCAATATGTTGTATACTCATCACACTCCCATTTTAATGAATGTGGTCTTTACTTGTCCCACAAGCTTTATATGTGACAGATTACTCTGTCCCACATAAGAATAAAAACCACATGTGACTTTTTCTTGGGTCCTGTGAGATCCCAATCCCGATACATATCTCACATTCCAGTTAAATAAACATAGCAGATTGTTCGGTGTCAAATGAAACTTCTCAGTTTTGTCAGCAAAATATATTTGAGCAGACATATACATACTCAACATAATTGTACTCACCTTTGTCTGAAAGCTAAAAACTGAGACAGCGAGACAGACCAGGACTGTAATACCCAAACAGATCATCACAGACTTGGTATTGTAGTAACTGTGGGGAAAAAAAGAGACGGAAGACAAGGAAATAATGTGCATCAATGTGAAATAATGTGCATCAATGTGACTGTGAGACATTTATGACCAATTATGAAGTCCTGTCATGATGTTAGTAGAGACTGATGGAAATATTTGCCCATTTGAAGTATGTTAATACCTGAATACGAAACAGATATGCATGCTATAACTCAGACACAAACAGACTCACAAGCACACAAGGATATACGGCTATTTGGATACTGTACCTGGACAACATTCCTGTCATATATGAAAGAGACAGAGTCTGGAATGGGAGAAATTACAGTGAATGCTGACAATGTCTCCAGTACTTCACAGGAAATCCCCTGCCTTAGACTTCCATAGGCTAATCTGGCAATGTTTGTACAGCCTAATCTATTCTCACAGAAAAATATATATACTAATAGAGATATGTTACTGTATTTTGATAGTGTGTTTTCTACATAATGATTATTTTCAATAGATTGGAGAAAGACTGTTTTGGGACTCACAAAGACGGCCAGCAGAATCAGGTTCCATGGAAACTGCCTCCTATGGTTACAGATAGAAAGAGAGTCATGAGTAAAAATCGTAGTGGACCTATTTATTAATTAAAGCTCTATAATAAGACTCATTTGTATGCTAAATGTACCGAGTGTATGATTTGATCTGACAGTGTTAGAGCCACAATCTCACCTCGGTCCAGCACAGCAGGACAGTGTCAGGTAGGTTACAAAGAACACTGCGCTGTAGGTGAAAATAAAACATAGTCAATCAGCAGTAAACATTTAGCATCTTCCATTAACATTCAAATAGTAAATTATTGACAATGACTAAAGCTCTGAAAGCTCCAACCATCTTAACCCAGACAACAAATAGTTGTGGATGACAACTTCGGATTAAAGTGCAACCACATGTTCACACTTATTTTATGACTTACTATGCTGCCCAGTACCATCCAGGATTAGACTGAATATAGTCCTTTATGGGATCACTGAGAAAGAAAGAAAAGAACATACAGATTAAAACTACAGTGCCATGTATAAGTATTCACCCCCACCTTGAATTTTTCCAGTGTTACAACCTGGAACTGAAATGGACTTAAATTTAGATATTTACCATTTGATTTACACAAAATGTGTAATATTTGAAGATGCAAAATAATTTTTTTTTGTGACCCTGTGGGTCAATACTTCGTAGTCATGGTAAACCACTTCTGGCTGCAATTGCAAGTCTGTAAGTCTTCCCAGATATGCCTCTTGGAAAAAAATTACTGAAGGTCTGTCAGATTAGATGGAGACAGCAATTTTCATGTCTTTCCACATATTATCCCTTTAAGGTCGTTGTCCTGCTGGAAGGTGAACATCAGTCTCTTAAAACTGGAAAAGGTTTTATTCTTGGAATGCCCTGTAATTTGCTTCATCCATCCATCTACAGCCCTCTGTCCTGTTTCCCAGTCCCTGCTGAATTTAAAAAAAGCATCCCCACAACATGATGCTACTACCACCATGCTTCACAGTGGGGTGAACATGGTGTTCTCAGGGTGATGAGCACTGTGGGTTTGTGCCAAGGCCAAAAAGTTTCATTGTTTCTCATCAGAGCAGAGAACCTTTTTTCCACATGTCTGCTAAGTCTCCAAAATACCTTCTGGCATACTCGCGCCTTTTTTCTCTTTCATTAAGCTGGCCTTTATGGAGCTGTGGATCTCTTCAGCTACTGAGTCTTGGACTTTTGGTTGCTTCTCTGCCTAATGCCCTCCTTACCCAGTCACTGACTTTTGGTGGATGACCTACTCTTCTTGGAGTCTTAGTTATGCCATATTTTTACATTTTTAATAAAGATATATTTGCTTTTTAAATTACACCAATGAATCACCATGAAGAAAATTCAGTTTCTTCACTCACCAGAAAGTGAAGAGAGACACAATGGCCAGGGTGACAGAGAGCTGGAGTGCCAGGATGGCATAGACCTGCACATATACATCCTCATCAGGAAACTAGTACACTAAAATACTAAATTGGTAACAACATAAACACATATGAACGTTGAATGATTGTTTTCCAGAGTTTAAAAAAATATACCTTCCGTATAAATGTCCGGCGTACGTTCAGGTCATCCCAGCAGAACTCTGTGAACATTTCTCCCTCATCAGGATAGTTGCCACTGTAACTGGGGCTTCCACCTTAGACATCCCATATGGTGTTAATAAGACTTTCTGTTTAATAACAGCTTTATCCATAACTGTTTTAAAAAAAAAAAAAACCATCTGATACCTACTCAATTGCCTACTAATTTTGACTCATGATGCTGTGGGCTGAAATACCTTTCAGAACAAATAAAGTGTAATGGACTTCAATATTTTTACAGAAATTCCCTAAGTAAGGGGAAGTAGTCAAGAGCATGTTAGAAACAGTTATGATGCAGATAATATAGTTTGTTTGGTTGCAGCATTGCAAAGCATCTCAACGTTGATCATATGGAGAAAGCCTAGTGTTTCTGTGATTGGCTCCAGATCCACCTCGATCTTGACTTTTCACATGACTAATTTATTTTCACATGTTATTTTGTAGGGAATGTGTTTCTTATGTGATCACATATTATTCACAACATGTCACATATGTTACATAGTGAGTCCACATGTCCAATTCCAGGGCATAATATATTATAATGTACATGTTTTTCCACATGTGATTGCATATTACTCACATGATAAAGCCATCCATCCATTTTCTGTACCACTTATCCTATACAGGGTTGTAGGGAGCCTGGAGCCTATCCCAGGGGACTCAGGGCACACCCTGGACAGGATGCCAACCCATGGCAGGGCATAATCACACATACACACTCCTACACCATTTTAGAAATGCCAATCGGCCTACAACACGTCTTTGGACTGGCGGACAAAGCCCCCAAAGCAAAGGGAGAAGACGCAAACTTGGCACACATAGGTGGGAGGTGGGAATCAAACCCCTGACCCTGGAGGTGCGAAGCAAACGTACTAGCCACTATGCTCCCCCATCATAAAGCACATGTGAAAAAACAGTGATTACGTGTGAACTGAAAAATTTTCCATAAGGGAAGATGCAGTTACTGAAAATTAATGAATGAATATTGCTCCTGTTCCTGTTCTAAACCACTTCACTAACAATTTTTCACTAGTTGGTCAAAGAAATTGCATTAGACTGCACTGCCCTCTACAGTCATGTTAACAAACTTCACCTGAGCTAATATTAAAATAATCAGACCTTATGATGTCCCCTTTTTCAGCGAAGTTTCAGAACGCATCACTAGTCTTAATTCATTAAATTTATTAGAAAAAAATAGAATTGTACATGTCAGTGTACATGTCACTGTATGAGGAGAAGGAATTAAAAATTAAGTAAAGTTACCTGCAGTGGCCTCCTCATAGCTCGGAGGTGGTGGAGGCAGTGACGAGCCTTCATTCGACTTGTTTGCCACTGAAAGCTGTAGATAAGCACATTCTAATAAATAAGGCATATTTATGAACCCAGGAAGAATAATGCTTACGAATTCAAATGTCTTTTTGCTCACTAGTATCTGCAGCAACAGTTTCAAAAATGTCAATTCAAAAAATTTTATGATTACACAGCAATTTGGTTAGTCTCAACGCCATTTTAAACTTTAATGGTGCAGCTTTTAACAGACAGAACTTG